GCGGGGGGCGTTTAAACGCATATGAAAAAACGAGCGTTGTGGATGCCCTTATACAAAAATTAGTATATAGCCCGTGCGATGCACGAGATAAATGTTAAATGCATAACTAACATATGGTTGATATATATAAAAGAAAAAAGTATAGTTGGATCATCTATTATATACAATCAGAGTTGTCTTTCAGCCGAAGTGCTCAACTTAAGCCGGTTAGCGCTAACAGTTTAATTAATTAATATATTATCTTGCTAACACATTTATGCTAATTTAAATTTAATTATAGTGTATCTATTTATTCTTTCATATAAGAAAAAATAACAATTTTACTTAGTTTTGTTCACCGCAAAATATTTAGTTACTATTTTATTATAATATTTATAAAAGTTATTGAAGTAGTCTTCTTCTTATTTTTATTTTATGTAATAAAAATATTCAATGTATGTTAATATTATTTATTAATATAAATTATGTAAATCTATGTCTGCAACTTGAAAATGTAGATGTACGTCGCAACCTTCTCTTTACCCTCTTCTTCTTTTATTTTTTTCCAGCCCTTCTTCGTGAGATTTTTTTTTTTTGTTCCCTTCGCTGGAGCTTCAGCGGTTTGTTTGAGAAAGATGGGAATAAAGAACAACATCAATTAAGAAGGATAAATTATAGTTTTTTACTAAGATAAAATAGAAATATTTCCTTCCAATCTTCAGGATATAAATCTTTCTCCAAAAATTTTAAAATACATTTAGGTAAGACTTTTGAATTTTAAAAATTAAATATAACAGATCCCATAATTTATGGTAGCATTAAATGTGCCAGATTTTTATAAATAAAAAAATTGAAAAACATTGCAAAAATAGAATGTATTAATTGTCTTTTGACTTTTCTTGCTACTAATTTTAGTAAATAGGATGACTTTTTATATAGATATAGATTCTTATTTATTATTACTAAACTATTAATTTATACTAGTACGTAACCCCGTGCGATGCACGGGTTGTATTTGTTTTGCTAAAATTTATAATTAAAGGCTAATATTAATCAATAAGTTATAATATCGTAGGGCATTTGTCAGGTAATCAAAAAATGTTCATCATGAAAAAGTCATACATTGTTAAAATCTTTCTTGTTTTTCCATGCAAAATTAATTTGCACTTGACAACCGTAAATCATATTTATAGTTATTGCTAATTGCATAGACACTTCATTTCTCTAATTATTTGTTGATTTTTATATTGTTAACACCACGAAATAAAATTATAATATAATATTATTATATAACTCTAGCGATTTAACGAGAGTAGGACTTTCACGATTAATTATTTGTGCTAACAATATTTATATCTACCATGTAAAATTTATAATTTGTAAATTATTGTGTAATATTTGTAAATATTACACGTAAATATTTATAAATATAAATATTTCACGTACCAGTGAAGTAAAGATTATATTTGTAAAGATTACAAATATATACGTGTGAAATATTTTTTTCTAAAACGTTTCCCAAATAAATATAAAGATTATTTTATGTGTAAATAAATATGAATATTTTACCGTAGCACCATTTACACATGTAATTTTCTACCCGTAAAATATATATTAATTATAATTTATGAATATGAAATTATATTTAATTATGTATTGACTTGTGATAATATAGATTTGTGATTATCTATTTTATTTTAACAGTCTCATTTTTAACATCGATAGGAAATGTGATTTTAGAAATTATTTTGTTTCATTATACAATAGATTTATTTTTTCAAATCATAATATGAATAACAAGCAGTTTTCCAAATGATAAATATGAATAGCACACCATGTAAATCAAATTTTGACAACAAAAATCGCTATGACATAAACAAAAGGATCAGGTATCAGATTTTTTCCAAAAACAATTACGTAAAAATTCAATCTAGTTCTTGAAAATCATTTAAAAAATTTAACAAAAAATAAAAGGTTAATCTCATTTTGAAATGTAATCAACGAATCTGCTAACTAATTTAACTTAATCTTTTTTTTTGCAGACTCCTCAATAAACGCAGGATACGCGGTCTTCAAAAGAGGAGATTTATATCTAACCACAAAAAGAGGAGATTTATTTGGATTTTGATTTCATATTTTTTATTGTATTTCTAAAAAAAAAAAATCGGAAAAAACAAATTTGCTAATAAATAGAGATTTTGTTAAGTTACTATGTTTGGGCAATAATTAATGAAATTGGCGGGAAAATGTTTCTAAAAGTGAATTATGTTAATTATTATTATATATTAATAGATGTTGATTCGAAAGATGATCCATACATTTATCATTTATTACTATATATATGTTTGAAATAATTTCTCAAATCTATTTATACATATTTTTAGAATACTCTTTTCAAACAATCGAATATACAAAATATTATATGTTATCAAAATTTAATTCATTATGTATATATATATATATATATATATTATATGTGTACACTTCATATTTATGAAATAATTACTCACTAGTAAATATCCTGTGCACATGCACAGATGTACATAAAATATTATAAAGAGAATTTAATATTAAAATTCTAGATATTGAACATATTACATTTTCAAAAATGTGATCATTAAGAAAAATAAATTAACGATTTTATTATTATGAACAATTATTTATTATCATTAGATAATAGCAGTTTGATTATTATTATTATTATTATTATTATTATTATTATTATTAAAAATTATTTATAAGCTTCTAAAGTTGATTGACTATGCTATTAAAACAATTTACTAATTATTTTTAAAGAAATTTTTTCATGAGATACAAAAGAAAAAGATAATATTGATGTTAATATAAATAACTTGAAACAATTGTTTATAATTATGTAATTTATATTTATTGTGAATTATTATTAGTTGGTATTAGCAATAACTATTATATAATATAATAGAAACATACATGATTACACTCATTAAGATGTATTGATGTGAGAAGTAAAAAATATTAATGACAAATTTTGTAACCGAAAATGGAGGGAAAATTTTAGAGGTTTTATTAAATGTTTTATTAAATGCTACATACCAGCAATTATATATATATAGATTCATTGAGTACTAAGATTGATTGATAAACTTAAATTTCGTCTTATATAGGAAGAAAAAAATAATATGATTATATTCTATATATGAAATAAAGGCGTCAAAACCAAAATACTAAAAAGATAATTAATTGTATATAAAATATGTAAAATATATTAAAAAATTATAAAGATTTAGTAAAATAAAGAACAATACCCATAATTAATAAAAAAGAAATACGTAACTATTCAATCAACTTTTAAAAAATAGGAAGAAAGAAAAAAAAAAAAAAATGGATAAAAATTTCTCTTACTGGAAAATAGTTTAAATTATTCACATTAAGTTAAATTGTTGAAAATCCTAGTCAAAGTAGTTATCAACATGATCTCATGTAATAAGGACCGCTTAAAGAATAGAGCTGTTACAAGTAGTTCAACTAAATGAAGTAGTATAATAACTATTTTATTATCCTGAAAAAATATTATAGTTATATTTAATAATAAATGTAATAAATATATATAAATATATTTATTTCATAATTATGGAAACAAACAAACAACATAAAAAACTACATACTTAACAACTTCTTATATACGATATTTAAAGTCCCTAGATGATATTCGAATAATGTTTTCCAATAATATGTGAGGAAGAGTATTGCAATTAATTAATTTGTGATTATTAAATTTCCATGTACCACTTATGTCACTATACATTTCCATATTACTACATGACCCATTTCTAAATTTATTAAATTTCTTTTTCTCTCATAAACTATTTATTTATTATTTTTTTTTTCAGTAAATTGTCATCATTAAATTATTTTGCAAAACTACTAGAATCAAATCGTCCAATTTTTTAATGGGTCATGCTACATGTACAACTAGTGTTGACAACATTAGTTGACAACACTAGTTATCACAATCATTGAACAAATCTTAGCCACACATTTTTTTGATCTCAATTATCTACATGATGACACATCATGTTGTACAAAATAATTGTACAAAATAATTGTACAAGTAGCTTTATTCTTTTTTAATTGAGATTGAGAACATAGAATGAAGGACCAAACATAGAACATAATCTCTCCGGTTCTTTTCGTACAGTTGCCTACAATTGTAACTTGGGTCCCTGAACAGAAGAAACGCGACTTATTCAGCATATCGCGAAAGGCCACTTCATACTCGCTTGCGCTCAAATTATAGAGTGATACCTCCTGCAAATAAAACTGACAGAGAACACAGAAAACCCAACAGCGAGGGCTCTCGTTTATTGTCAGCTGAGCACACAAATAACCGAGAGAAATTTGCCCCATTTGAGGCTTTGTTCATGTAGCTCCGTTTCAGAGTTCAATTTATCTTCGGTGCTTCTTCCAGGTAACATGCAAAAACCCTAATTATTGACCCTGGTTATGTGAAACATGTATATGATTTGTTCAGTGGATCGGGACATACGAAAGGGGAGTAAAAACATTGAATTAGAGTGGTAAATTGATGGGTCTAAACGACGCAGCTACTGTTGTTTCTGTATAATTTTTTTTTGTGATTTTGTGAGGATGCTTATTTGTTGAAAGAAGCAACTTTATGGTGTGTAAGTTCCCGTTTCCGGTGAAAGATCTTTTTTTTTTTTTGCTCTGGTTTTGGGAAAATGTGCAAATCCAAAATGAGGTACAATTGAATGCTGTAGCTGCAATTTTGTTTTTGAATACGTGTCTATTGAACTATATTGCGATTGTTTTGGGTGAAGATTTTCTGAGGACGCCTAATTGAAGTTAGTGTGAATGTTTTGCATTTGCATGAGCTCCAATCCTGTTAATTTTGATGGAAATGTAACCTGAAATGGCCTCTACTTGTCAACTCATTCTATTTCAGTCTGATTGGTCTTATGACAGATTCTGTTTCTCTTTTTGTTTATGTTCTGCTTACAGGCGTTCACTGAATGTCAGGCGACATGGCGAATTCGCAGAATGTCGAGCTGGAAGCAGCAAAGTTTTTGCATAAACTTATCCAGGAGTCCAAGGACGAACCTAATAAATTGGCGACGAAGCTTTATGTGGTGTGTGGCATTTCTTTACATGCAATATTACTCGGCCTTGGGAGTTTTCTTGTATGGCAATGCTGGTATATTTTAAGTAATTTGTCCGTTTTTGCGTGGATTTGACAGATCTTGCAGCACATGAGATCTAGTGGGAAAGAAAATTCAATGCCATATCAAGTCATATCAAGGTAAATGTTGTCGGAAGATTATTGCAGCGTGTTGCATTGTGATTGGTAGATTCTTATTGTACTAATAATGTGTGAGAGACCTCCCCTCATCTCTCTTACAAACACACAGTTACATATATATGTTTGCTTATATTTTATATTATCGTGTGTCCTTGTGTGTACACCCCATGTCCATTGCATATTGGAAGAGTCATGGTTGACAATTCTCTTGGCATAATGCTAATAATGCTAATAATGGACTAGATCAAAATGACTCAATTAAATTTTAGTGCTTCTTCTATTAGAAGAAGTTTCTAGAAAAAAATATATCAAACGACGCAATGCACCTTGGGTCGCTATGGAAACAACCTTCTTGTAATTAAGGGTAAGGGTAAGGTCTGCGTACAACTGACCCCCCAGACCCCAACCTGTGTTGGGAATGTGTTGGGAATATACTGGGTATGTTGATGTGTTGGGAATATACTGGGTATGTTGATGTGTTGGGAATATACTGGGTATGTTGATGTGTTGGGAATATACTGGGTATGTTGATGTTG